GAGGCACTAAAATCTCATTCTTAATTCAACTAGAGCGAAATTGAAATAAAGAACTGATTTTTGATCATTCCAGAAATAAAGTTGAGCCAGAGTAATTCCAAAATTCAATTTGTAAACCTGTAAGAGCTAAAATTGATCTGGAAATGCGTAGTTCTATTCCTTGCTTTTGGAGAGCTGAAATTTGTACTGAAGAAGCATGAAAATCCTATTCCAGGCTTCATAGAGCCAGAATTAAATTAGAAACTCTAAAATACTGAATTCTGGACATTCTTGGGTTGAAGTTAAACCAGAGTAGTTTCAAAAGCTTATTTTTGGATCTGTTAAAGTTTAGATACTTAATCAAAAAAGCGTCCCTCGATCTGGAGGAGCTAAAAAGTGAACTAGAAAAATACTAAAATCATATTCCCGGCTCTATTCAAACCAAATTAAACTATTAGAAGTAAGTTTCTGACTATTCTAGAAATGAAGTGGAGCCAGAGCAATTTCAAAATCCATTTTTGAATTTGTTAGAGCTGAAACTTAATCAAGAAAGCGCGGAAATTCCCTTCCTTGTTCTTCAAGAGCTAAAATGTGAACTAGAGAAGCATTAGAATTATACTTTATGGCAATTATTAAGGCATTAAGGCTGCGCCTCGGTCTAACCAAAATCTCGAGACAGTAATGAAACTTTTAACCGAACTATGTATACTATTTTATTTACAATCATACAAATTTGGTAATTTTCATTTGAATGAAAACTAAAAAAATACAATAAATTTTAACAAAAAACGCATGTTTTCTGCGTTTCTTCTGCGCCACCTTGTATAAGAGACTATAAAAAAGTGAGCTCTTATCAATCATTTTTGAATCTGTTAGAGCTGAAACCTAATCCATTCCAGAAAGCGTGAAAATTCAATCCTTTACTTTCCAAGAGCTAAAATGTGAACAAGAGGAACACTAAAATCCTATTCCTAGCTTAACTATTGAACTGAAGAATTGTGAAGTACTGATTTCTAATCACTTCAGAAATAGAGTTGAGCCGGAGCAATTCCAAAGTCTAAACCTGTAAGAGCGGAAATTGAAATGGAAAAACTTAAAAATTCTCCAAAGGTCCAGGTCCTGATGATATTAACAAGTGTGAGTCAATGCATTTTTTTTATAGAACCGGACTGCCGAGCCTTCTTGCTACACCCATCAACAACCAGATAATTGAACATGTTGGCGTTTACAATGATTTAGGAAGAATCTTTGGTCTTTTACAGTAATCTAACTTTTAACTACATTGCGAATATTGTGAACAATGGTTTTAGGATATTTAGCTTTGTGAAGCGTATTACAAAGCATCTACAATTCTTCACCCTCAATACAACTGTCTGGTGGGCAGTATCTTTGAATTCTACAGCGAAATCTGGTCCCCTTTTTATACCTCGCTCTGACGGATTGAAAGAGTTGTTACGATAAATTTATCATTTACGTAACAGGTTCCATCTCTTCTTATTTTCATTATAAAGTTGTATTTTTTCCATTTCAGAATCAGCAAAATTATAATTGCTAATCTAAAAATATCCACAAAGTTCAAAATAATACTAATGCTGCCATCTATTCATCATGTGCGTAAAATGCAAATCTCTAGAATTCATTTACCACTACTGCCATCTAGTACCTGATAGAATTATTTTTCAAAGTATGATTTCAATTATTTCGCATTTGACAGTCATTTGTATTTTCATTGAAAGAAATTATATTTATCTCACTTTTAGCGAATAGATATATTTCTGCCTTTCTCTAACTTCGGATTCTGAAATAATCATTTTTTGGCTTAATGACCTAATTAATTAACATTTTTTTATTTTTGACAAAATCTTAATTTAAAGTAGGTTTTATAATTTGTAAACAATTAAAATATTTTTAGTGGATTTTTATTTATTCTCTTTTATTCTACGTGGGTTTTCATTGTGGAGTGAATGTGATCTTTTGGGTGTACTCGTCTGATTGGTTGATCTGGTTAAAATGCAGTTAGGTATAAAAAAACACTAGAACGTTTTCTTGTGGGCTTTGGTTTCTTAAACGATCTCTTTCCTCAACAGAAGTGTAGCAGGCAAGCCTCTTCATTTTGAATAATTTTTGCTTTGTATTCTTGGATTCTCCCTTATAGATTTTTCAATATATTTTGCTATCAATGCATAATATCATATCATTATTAAGTTTTTACCTGATAAATCTTATCTTATCTGTTCTTGAAATATAAATATTATATTTTACTTTTTTTTTATCTAATTGTTGGCTTCCATTTTGTGTGAGTATCGATTGGTAGTGCCACGTTTATCTGAGGTAAGTCAATTCAGATTTTTGGATTTTAAAAAGGTACTGCTGCTCTGGTTTTCAGAATCAATTGTTAGTGTGGGAATATTGGACCATTTGCTCTAAATAGAGTCGGTGATAACCAAATTTTTGTGTCCATCCCTATCAACTCTTTATTGAATTCAGACAGAGGCCTGAATAGCCATTTTCTGTTTGACTCCCTCAATTGTTATCTCGACTAAAGGATGAAATTTTTTAATAGAAATCCGGACAGGTCAAAAATTCAGAAAAAAGTTTTAATTAGAACATCTCAAGAATTTTGACTTATTCTGGATTTGATTAATTTTAACCCCAGGTTTATCTTGTAATATCTATAGTAGCTACCTGCTACTTTAATTTGAAAGGAAAATTTTGTCTCTTTATGGGAAAATCCAAAGATTTAATTTCTTATTGTTTCACCTTATTTTGTTCATATTTTTGCCTGCCAGAGCTACTGTCAGGAAAGCAGCATTTTGCTCAATCATAACGAGCATTTTAATTTAAATTTCATTATTATCTTACCATTATTCTTAATTATTCAATTGTATTTTTTTTTATATTAATATTTTTTTTTTCAACTTGCAATAGCTGTTCATACCTGATTCTGTTGGAAGGGAGTGTCTGTACAACAATCGTTTTATATTAATTTTCAATTTCAATTTCCTTTGCAAGACAATCATTTTTTGACAGAATTCAGGAATTTAATATTCCAAATATTGGTGAACCTGATACTGCCTTTATTCTTTTCTGGGTACCTACTCGACATAAAAATCACTGTTTGAAGTCTGGATCAGCTGGAGTGACGTCACCCCAGCAATCTATCCTTTTCCTGGATACAGGAAGCAACACGATGAGCTCCAGTTCACGAAAGTGGAACCCCAACACCATTGAAGAGCTCCGGATTGGAAAGGTATATGGTATCAGATTAACCGGAAAAACCAAGCTGTCGACACTAAAATTTTACAGTAACATTTACTGTTACTCTATGTTACATATAACATTGTTAAATATCAGATAAAATTATTGTTTGTTGGATTTTGAGTGGTTTCATTTGCACATGAAGGGACTACACGTTATCTTGATTTTTTGAATTCCACGACCCTAGGTTATCTTGTCTTAAAGTAACAAATTTCAAATTAATTTGTAACAGAATTCAGGCAAAATTTGCTAAATACCTCTTATTCAAACATCACTTTCCCTATGAAAACGTCGACTACAACATTAGGCTACTCTTATGTAGTCTAAAACCTCTACGCAGAAATCGATTTATTCTCAGTCACTAAACGCTGAAGTGTTTTTTGTAGACATTCAATTTAGTTTTCATTTAAATATTCTGTATGTTTTGTGTTTCTTGACATTGTTCTTCTTGTTTGTGTTAGCTTGCATGTATTTTAACATCAACTTAGTTTTGAGTTTAATTTTCTTTTTGTTTTATTGTACAACGTTTTAATTTTATTGTAAATTGAGCCAGAGCAGTTTGCTAAACCTGAAAATCTAGTTTTAGAAATTTCCACGAGCAGAAATATGGCATGATGTAGTTAAAGGATAATGCAACCCAGCAAATCTTTCATTATTCCTATAACTATTTTTTTTTTTAAATTTCATAAAAGAGACAGCAGTGTGATTTTTGAACAAAAATTTAGACGAAATACCTTTTTTTCAGTCCATAATTAGTGTGATAACGGCTGAAAAAAACCTATATTTAACTTTTTTTTTTCAGCTCTAATGTAACACGACTCCGTTGTTTTGTAAGGGTAATATATATCTGTATAATGTATGTGACGTTCCCCAACAGTCGCCCTTATTCTCCTCCCTACATAAACATTCGTAACAAGCGCGATGACAAGAAAATTTAATTTGAAAAAATTTAAATCTTTCTTTGTTAATAGAAAGTTGTTTTATATTCCGAGTCAAAATGACATTATTATAGACTTCATTTGTAGTGTCATAATGACATACTTTATTGGATTGAGTACTATAATGATTTCATTATAGTCCTGAGTACTATAATGGTACTATAAAAAATATATATAGGTATAGCATTCCTAGGTTTTTTCATATACGCTTTTAGACTTTTCAGGCATTAGGCCAGCAACTACATTATCAGCCAAATTTTCCATTTTTGGGGGTAAATTCATCATAGAATTATTCATTTTTTAATATTTGATGAACAGTTCAGTGAATTCAACTTTGACAGTATGACAATACAAACAAACAATTCCGTTGTTAACAGTTGTCAAGCACATTACTGAAATTAGCCTTCTTCAATTATTTCTGATAAACTCAAATGCGACAGAAAAATGTATTGACTTACTTAAATCGCCGGAATATAAAATTTTGTATGAAATTCGGGTCATAAAGAATCATTATGGCTTACGCCGTGTTATCAGACTCGGCTAGTGCCATAATGATCGTCATTATGATCCTTATAACATAAATATATATTAGTGAACTCAGATTTAAACACTTTTATTATATTTATTCTTAGAATTAGTGTTAATTTTTAGGCATTTATTTTGTTTCAGTTTATATATTTGTATATTTTTAATTTTTGTCTAAAAAGTTATGTGTATTATGCGTTTTTAACAAATTATTATATTTATAAGTCAGTTATTTATTATAAATATTTATTTGTTCAAAGTACTTTGTCTGAAATAATTAAAATTGAAAAAAGTTCTTACCTTTTTTGTACTTTCAACAACTTAATCTTGTGCTGAGCTAAAAATTTCTCGTTAACCTCCTCCAAAGCCATATCGACGGCGGGGCCGCACCGTTCCAAATCGAAAGGATAATGAAGATTGGAAGCCATCAAAACGCCGACGTTATAATAACGAAAATCATCTTCGATAACTTTGGGTACTGACGCAGTGAAAGTCCATATCAGAATTAGCGTTGTTAGAATCCTTTTCGAATGCAAAAGGAATATTTCGGCCATCGTGTGTCAGGTTTGATCTGAAAGGGTAAAAGCAATAAAATCAACCTTTATTTGGCACTTGATTCTTTAATTAAATACGCTCGAGAATATTGTTCAAACAATTTACAAAGAAAATTAGCCATGCGGTGAAATTTATTAACAAGGGTTTGTCTGAATTATATTTTTCGTTCAGTAAATCCTGTTTTTAAAAACTATTTATTTTATTTATTTATTTATTATTTATTTATTTGATACAATAGTAATAATACATTTCAAAGTATTTAATAATGTCAGCTAGATACACGATGAATTTGAAATTTGTGTGTGTCTCTAACCAACATTAAAACGATTTTACAAAATCTATTTATCATTAAACAGGTACACTATCCTATACTATTTACAGATATGGAATAAAAATGCATATGCTATTAGTACATACTTAATTCAAATAGCAAAATCCTAAGAAAACCACACTATGTTTTTAGATATCGTTTCATAGTTAACTAAGATCCATTTTTTTAATGCGTTTCTGGTTTTTTTATTAAAATATTCATTCCTAAGGTTGATGGGCAGAAGATTTAATAGCCTTGGCCCAGTGAATAAAATACTTCTCTGTGTGAAAGAGAAGTGTTGCAGACTAGTTGTATATTTTTGATTTGTCACAGCTCTAGTTTGTACTACATGGTTAACTAGGTTTGTAAATATTTTAAATTTCAATGAAAATTGTATAACTCTGTTACAGTATAATTGCCTTATATTTAACATTCCGCTTTCCGAAAATATCAGTTTTGTGGGATATGTTTTTGATTTAAATAACATAATTTTTAAAATGTATTTTTGAGCAATATTTAAAGGTAGCAAGACTGACTCACAAGCTGATCCCCACGAGAGAATACCAAAATTCAGAATTGATTCTGCTAATGCTAAGTATACCATTTATGTTAGTTCTAAAGATAGTATATTTCTAAGCTGCGCAAACTTATATACTAATTTCCTAACCTTTTTACTTATGTAATCTATATGCACATCCCATCATTTCATAAACCTATCAAAATATACTCCAAGGTACTTAATAGAACTACATGATTCAATTTTTAGGTTACATTTGCATGATACAGATATGTCGCAGTCAGAATTATGTAGGTTTAAAAAATATCTATAGGGCACATTACGCTTGTCTATAGAAAACGGAATAAATTTAGTTTTATCTGTATTCAATGTCAACTGGTTCGAATCTAACCAATGTTTTATTTTGTGAAAATCCAATTCCGCTTTTCTATAAGCCTCGTCTCATGAGCTACCAGAAATTATTATAGCAGTGTCGTCTGCAAAACAAACGATTTTACCCGAAACTTTCAAAGACAGTAGGCTATTTACGTATATTGAAAACAGAATTGGACCCAGCACAGTACCTTGAGGCACACCAATAGCAACTTCCTGAGGATCACTGTATACGTCATTTATTTTAACTTTTTGAACTCTGCCTTCTAGATATGATTTAAACAGGTTGTACACTAAACCTCTTATGCCAATGCTTTCGAGGCGCTTTAAAAGAACTGGGTGCGCAACCGTGTCAAAGGCTTTTCTAAGGTCTAAAAAGACAACGATTGGCTTACAACCTTTATTTATAGTTTTTGTAATAAACTGATTAACCTCGTGCAATGCATTGTCCGTCCCAACTCCTGGTTTAAACCCAAACTGATACGGAGAAATGGTATCATTTTCTTTTAAAAAATTTCATAGTTTTTCTTTAATACATTTTTCCACAATTTTGCTAAATACACTGCACAGGGCTATTGGCCTATAGTTGTTTTTAACAGTCTTGTCGCCTGATTTATGAATAGGTATAATTATGGATTTTTTAAATATTTTTGGATAACAACCTGTACTGAATATGAAATTAATGAGATGTAGCAAAGGTTTGGTGAGGTAAGCATGATAGTTTTTTATTATTTTAGAAGTAATACCATCATCTCCGCAAGAATTTGTATTATTTAACGAGCTTATGACATTTATTAGTTCTGATTCACTAACTGGTCTCAAAAACATAGAATGATGACAAATAGTCTCATATTTTTGTTCGGTTGGTATAATTTGTTGTGCAAGTTTTGCGCCAATAGAGCTGAAAAAGGAGTTAAATTCATTGGCAATCTCTCCAGCGGCAGAGACAGCCTGGCCACTGTCGTTTTTAATGCACTTAATACTAGATAAATCACGGTACTCATTAGAGGCTTCCTGAATAGTATCCCATATTTTTTTAGGATTTTTATAATTTTCATGAATTTTTGTACGATAATAATCAAATTTTACATTTTTGATGATTTTGGACAGCCTATCTCTATACTCGGTATAGATTCCAATGGTGTTACGATTATTATTTGATCTTGCTACAGCTCTTTTTAGTTGGTTTCTATGACGTATACAGCTAACCAGCCCAGGAGTTATCCATGGCTTTAAACATCGGTTTTTATTGCTAATTTGTACTTTTTCCGTGCTTTGACTTACTAGAGATTTTAGTTTATTAATCAGTTTTTCAGCAATGACATCTGGATGACTTTCGTTTAGAAGATCATACCACGTTTCATCCTTAAAGAAATTTAGCAGCCGCTGTTTATTTAATTTGTCAAAGGTTTTTGTCGGTTTAGATTCATCCCTTGTAGCATTTACTTTTATACTTAAAATAATCGGCAAGTGATCTGTTATATCGCTATCTAGAACTGCGGCATTGCAATCATCAAGGCCCTTAACAAAAAAATGGTCTAGACAAGATTTATTTCTAGTAGGGACGTTAATAAACGGGAAATATCCTAGACTTGATAAACTATTTAAGAAATTTGCTACATTCTCTTTGCTTTTATCTAATATATTTATATTGGTATCGCCAGAAAAAATTTCGGTGGCGCATGGCATAAAATATCTTTGGGTAAGCAACTGCACGAGAATGTCAGGATACATTTTTTCGTCTAGACAAGGAAGTCTATAGTGTGCTAATATACCAATTTTATAATTGTTTTTACAAGCCTCTATTCTCAAAAATTTGTAGTTATTTATACATATTGTTTTATTTTGTAGTACAAGATCGCTTTTGACATAAATGATAGTCATGGTCGGCTCACTCATATTAGCACTTTGAGCCAGCTTTTTTAGTTCACTCGTGGCCGCTAGATTGTTCTGCTGGTATGGCGAAAAAAACTAAACCACAAAATGAAACCGGTAATGTCATTGTCATTCGGCCTTTCCGTTCATTTTCAAAATTCAAATTTAAATTTAAATTTAAATCTAAATTGTATTTTGATTGTGTTTGCGTTTATTCTTGTGAAAAACTAAAGGTAAGTTCTGATTACAAATTCTCACAGTGTACGTATTTTTAATATCAGAAATAGTTTTTTTTTTTTTTTAATATATATTATGATGTTATGGCTAATGTGCAATCTAGTTTATAAACTAGCTAGGATAGTTTATTAAAACTCGGCTATACTGTGCATTATGATTTATGATACCTAAAGCCTAAAGGTTTCTGAAATATTTATTATAGAATTGTCGTGAACATGCCAGCAATTTGCTGTATAAGCACTTGCATGAAAAGTGGAACATCGAAACACTGCTTTCTCAATCCAGCCAAAGATAAACAGCGCTTTGAAAGGTGGATCATTTTATGTGGAAATCAGCGTCTAGTTACTGAAACGACACCTGAGCAAGTTTACAAAAGTTATCGTGTATGCTCTCTTCATTTTTGTGAAAAAGATGTAGGTTCTAATGGAAAACTAAAACCAACAGTGGTGCCATCATTAAGTTTACCAGGTATTCAACTATTTAGATTCACTTTTTCATTTCTTTGTACATTTACCTACAGCTCCATTAAAAATAGTGCCACTAGATGTTGAAACACCTTCAACTAGTAGACCAACTCAGTTGATGATAGACAACGAAGTGGCTTCTACAAGCAGTCATGGCGAAATTACTTTTTCTCCCAAAGAGCCTGAAAATGTGCTTTCTAAAACTAACACAAAAATCTGCTCGACTCCCAGAAAACAAAAGAGTAAGTATTTTAATTTAAATGTAGAATGCGCGTTTGAAATTTAGCAATGAACAAGGATTTCAAAAGCGGAATTAATAATCTTTTTCTTTAGGAATGATAATCACAGCGCTATTCACGTGCAGTGAGTAATACTTTGGGCTCACCTACAATTTTACTAAGGGTAAAATTATACTAACCGTTCGTAAGCGTGTTATAAACGGTAACTGCAAGTACATCATATTTTCAGTTACCGTTTATAACACGGTTATAAACGGTTAGTTGCCTTATAGTGTTGTTTTAGAACTGGAGGATGCTAGGTTTATTTTTTTGTTAAAAATTCACAGATTTTATAGATTTATTGTATGGTTAATTTCAGCTGAATACCGTTGCATTGAATAAGTTTTGATTATAGTATATCATGGGTGTTATTATTATTAAGTATAATAATCTTTGCTACATCATAAAATTTATGTTCTGTATTTCAGGACGCTCTGAAATCCTGTCCGCAATAAATGTAAGTTCTACGAAGGGCTTATCGCCAAAAGCAAAGCATCTCTACAAAAAGGCAATTCATTTTAAGAAAAAAGCTTCTATAAATATTGCGAAAAAACTATCTTTCAAAAAAAAAACTGCAAACAGCGAAAAAACAAACCAGCTCAGAGGTTGTTTCTAGCATGGATCGAGTTAGAGCCAGATTTTTTCAATCTCAATTAGAAAACCAAGATAAGAAGCCAAAAGGAAGAAGGTACTCTCTGGAAGACAAAGTGGTGGCACTGACTTTTTACAAACAAAGTGCAAATGCATATAGACATATGTCAAAGATTTTTGCTATGCCGTCCAGAAAAACTATCACAAAATTGTTAAACAGAATCCCAATTCGTCCAGGACTGCACAATGAAGTATTCTCAGTTCTAAGAGCAGAAACTAGGAAATTTCAAAACCCTCTTGACAAACATTGTATTTTGATGTTTGACGAAATGAGTATACAGCCTTGTCTACAGCCAAATGCAAAGGAAGGCATTGTGGATGGATTTGAAGATTATGGGTACAAAAGAAGTGATAAAATTGCGAACCATGCATAGGTTAATCACTATTTTTTTATTCATACCCTATAATGCTTATTAAAAACTGCGTCGTCGTGCTTAAAAAATCGCGCATTTGGAAGACTTTAATATCCATAATATACTACATATTATATTTATCTTATACCAAGTAGGTACCTATAAATTCATTAAAAAGAAAATAGCTATTTATACAATAAGTTGCGTGAAAATTGTCCAACGAGGCAAAGCCGAGTTGGACAACACGTCGAGTGACTAAAAGACTTCGTTTCGTAACGTATTGTATACAAGATTTTTTCTACTGGCGTTTCATAATAAAAAAACACAATTTTATTTCAATGTTTGTCACCCTGCTTTTGCTTGACACCTTTCATGGTGGTGACTAATATTCATAATAAATACAAAACAAAATTCAAATCTGTGTTTAGTGTGTTTTTTATTTCTGAACAATGAATGACACTTTTAGGCACTAGTGCTTAAAAGTTACTTTTACGCACTTGAAAGTCACTTTTACGCACTTGAAAGTTACTTTTACGCACTTGAAAGTCACTTTTACGCACTAAGTGCCTAAAAGTCACTTTTACGCACTGAGTGCTTAAAAGAATGTCGTTTCAAAACTGGAATGACAATCGAAAAGTTGCTATTATGAAACGTCAGTAGAAAAACATTTATATGTATGCATATAATGTATTTCTATAATATATTAATAACAAGATTTTTTCAGGTTTTCATGTTGCGTGGTATTAGACGAAAATGGAAGCAACCTGTTTATTATAATTTTGTGTCTGGGGCAACGAAGAAAAATGACATTGTTTACATCATAAAAATGATTGTTAGAAAATGTATAGGCATTGGTCTAAACATTGTTGCTACTGTGTGTGACCAGGGCTCGAACAATCAAGCTGCAATAAATACTCTTGTGCAGGAAACTAAAGAAAAATATTTACGAAGCGGGAAAGAGTTATATGAATTCCATTTCGAGATTGATAACTCAAAAATTATTCCTTTATATGATGTACCACATTTATCTACAGATCAAAGAGTGATACTAAGAAACGCGCCAAAAATATTTTTAACTGCAAAACATATGTATAACAACTTGAAAAAAAGGGGACACAAAAAATTTACTTTTTAGTTTTTTTGTTTTTCTCTTAGTTTTCAAAGTGTTGTTATTGTCTCTGTCATTCCTCAGCATGTGTTTTGTTTTTGGAGTCCGTGCCGTTATTGCCGTTCGTGCTTGCTGTTAAATTTTATATGTTAGATTTAAGTAGCTCAATAAGTGTATAATAATTATTAATAAATAATATATTATACTTGATTATACATATTTAAGTGCTAATTTTTCAATTAAAAAAACTAACCTAGATAAAAACAATAATTTATTACAGTAACTCGACACCTCTGCAAACAGTGGCGACAAGAAAGGTCCCGTCGCCAATCGCCATATTCTTAAAATTTTTAATATGAATACATAGGATATGATAGGATTTATTGGATATAATGATATACCCAACTGGATAGGTAGGTATCTATTATCTATCATGAAAATTTAAAAACAACGTATCCGTTGTTTTTAAATTTTTTTGATAGATATAGATAATATCCGAGTAGATATTAATTGATGTCCTATTTATTTATATTTAAAATTTGCAAGAATATAGCGTAGTGTCGGGAGGGCCGCCACTGTTTAAAGACTGTGAACGAGTCTTAAGAATTACAGTGAACGTTTATCAATAACAAAGTGCCATCTTCCGGATAATGACGGAACTAGTAATTATAGTTCACTCTCAGTTGGCAGGGGGCGTTAAAATACGGCATGATATGTCAACATTAGAGAGTCCAGTCTATTTACACCCTATATACATTAGTCTATGATGATAGTACCATCACACCAATTAATAGTACTGTTATTATAAAAAACAGAGTATGACTTTATATTAAAATCATCAACATTTTCGATTTCGTGTGATTCTGGCATTATAATGATATCAAAATCAACATCTAAAGAGCTAAGTAATAGTAGAAAATTATCGAAATTAGTTTTAATACCCCTGATATTAACGTGTATAACATTAAAATTATTATCGCCGGTCATTATTACTTCTTGAACATCACTTATAGTCGTACACATTTTATTTTGACATGAACGGTAAAAGTCTAATAAAGTATTATGATCCATTTCAAAAGATGTATATAAATATATTAAAAAAAATAAATAATTTATTGGATTAGCAAGTCTCGCATGAATCAAGGATCTCCTGTAGATGAGTTAAAAACTAAGAAGTAACAACAAAAAATACTAGACTCTAATTGCTGCGGCGAAGAGCCGATAACAGAAGAATCTTGATTCAACTTGCTTTAGTCTAAGCTAGAATACAAATGAATGCATGAGAAGTTATTCTAGCCGTATTTATAATAAAATACTGCTGACGCTGCAATCATGTGGGCGATATGATGGTACTTTTCCAGTGCAGTACCGCTTAGTCAGCATCTTTATATAATTGTGAACTTTTACATAGGCGTACGCTTACATTTAACATTGGAAAGGAGAATTATGTATATAATAGTATCTAACATAGGGTTTTATAATATAACTTCTGATAAATAAATCGTTTTTGAATTACAGGATGTAGAAGTTATGTATCACAAAAACTAGTTGTGTTATAGATTCATTACCTATAGTTCATAACACCACTAGTTGTGTTAAAATTTACCTGATGTTGGTCTATGAATATGAAAAATGTGAGTTTTAAGTTTGATAGGGATAGGACAAAAGGGACTAATTATTGAATGCCTGTAACCTTCACAATATTTCAATCTTTCTGTCTGATGATCGCAATGAAATACATAGTTTCGACTTGTTCAAATATCGTCAACCCCAGCAACTCTAAATCAGCCGAGTAAACATCATGGGGCAAATCACTAGCAAAATTAGCATGCGTGCGGATTTAGTGCCAGAATGACAGCAACTGAGTCATTACCTTACATTTCTAGGTGTTTACTGCTTAGAGAATTTACTGCTAATTGAACAAAAAAAATATTATTCGAGCCCACGCATATCTCCCACGACTTCGTAACAAGAAAAAGGGGGTAAATTAGTTCCAGAGCACTGCAAACTCGTAAAGTGTCAAAACAGACCTGAATATATTGCCGTGAAACTTTTTAACGAGCTACCGTTCAAGGCCTTTAAACAAAATGAAAGGCCTTTTAATTAAAAACACTTTTTATTGCATAGAGAAATTTTTGGAATCGTAACATATAGGTCTATACTTATTGAATATTTTACTTTGTAAATTTACTATTATGTTTCACCAATTCAAGGAAATAAGAATGTAACTTTAAATTGATTTACGTATTTTTAACCAGATGTACCTACATGTTTACTAGGCCACTTTTTCAGTCAGCTACTCAAAAAGGGGCAAGATAAAGTTTTTTAGATTTTTATTAAGCTTCTGTAATACTTATGCCTTCACTAAAGTTACTGATACGAAAATGTTTTATCTTCGAAAACAAGAATATTCATTCAAAACACAATTTGTCAACATTAGGTTCCCCAATTTTAAATAAACGTCTTTTTTTTATGGGTATTGCTTCCGGACTTTCATATATATATTTTTTTTTTCACAAATGAGAGAAGTTTTTTACTTGGCGCCGTTTCAAAAACCCACTTACGCTGTTTGAGCACTCTAATATTTAAGGCTGTTACGTTTGCGCTGGGCTCAACAAAATTTGATACGCCGGTAAATTAATTGAGCATTTCAATGTGCTAACCATACAGGCCTTCGACTATTCCAACCCCCATCGGCACTCTCAAAATAGAAATCGTGATCGAATACAATAATAGGTATCCCATGTTTTGTCATGTCTATTTAAGAATAAACAGCTTTAATTAACATCATCATAACCAAATGTAAATCGGACATAATCGTGTGTCTTCGCAAAATCTCCAAAGTACATGGGCAAGACAAACCTAACAAAACAGAGAATTGAATTAGAGACAGACACCAGACCAATAAAAAGGCGCCCTTACAAAGTATCACACCCTTAAGGGAAAAGATAGACGACGAGCAAATAAAGGAAATGTTAGAACATGATATTATTAGGCCACATCACTCCCCATGGACAAGCCCAGTGGTGCTAGTAACCAAGAAAGACGGATCTACAAGGTTTTGCATAGATTATAAAAAACTTAATAATGTGACGAAGAGAACAAATTATCCATTACCTCAAATCGATGACATATTAAGTTACCTGGACAAAGCGAAATATTTTAGTATCTTAGACATGTTCTCAGGATACTGGTAAGTGCCGGTAGAGGAAAATTCAAAACAATACACG